GTGCGTTAAAAGAGAGCGGTGAAAAGTTATATACCGTTTCACATATGGGCCAAATGGTTAGATTTTAGTCCGATTTGACTAGAGTAAACTTTATCACATCCATTTTTCCAAAAGCCTTGGCTTAGGAGCATAAATAGCCTGAATGAAAAGGTTAGATTAAGAAACACTGTTGTCCCCAGATTTTAAATCATAATCATTGAAAAAAGGTTGATAAATTGCTGAAGCAGATTCCTTTTGAGATCAGACATGTCAAGTGATAAATGTGTGCAATAGCGCCAACAATTTAGTAGATTTGATAGTTAAGTAAACAAAACAAAATGTTTCTAAGAACTCAATGTTTGGAGCTTGAACTTAACGACGAGCTGAAATTAAACAGATCCCATAAAACAAGAATGTTGAATGGATCAGGATGACTTATGCAGACAGTTTTATTGCAAGTAATATGTACTTTGCGTTCATTCTGTGTACGTGGTATGTCCCTTCAGTGATTAAGTCTCTGCATCATTATTTGTTTATCGGTAAGTTTGACTGTGGCCGACCACCCGAAGGGGACCACTGCGTCTTCAACTGTGGAATGGGTGGGTGGAGAAGACATTGCTTTTGATTACCTCTATAAATCTTTAGAACAAGTATTCCTCAAGGGGTTGGCGCTCTCTGGTGGACCCTTAGCAGCCTTGTCAGGATTCATCAACCACTAAGAGCATAGCAGTTAACTGTCTGCTTATCTCCATGGCTTTCCCCAGCTTCATGCCAACACAAGTCAAAGCCAAAAGCTCCAGTAGGTTAGAAGTAGTCACGTCTCACACTAAGAGCTTACATTCCACCAGCTACCGTTGGCTGGACCTTGCCATGACTACCTGTAAAGAGACAAACTTCTTTTTCTCTTTATTCATCAAACTTGCTTTCAGCTCTCCGTCAACACCAAAGGAGTTTAAGTTAGCCACATAGTCATATTTACACCAGCATATGAAAAATGACCAGAATTTAGCATTGCCATCTTAAACGTACAGTTTTTCCAGATGATGAATGAGTCCCATGAAGAAAGAGCTCTATATTAAGTGCTGTTTCCAGTAAGATTAAAAAAGGACTGCATAATAAAAACTGTTTTCTCTCACAGGAAAGATTAATGGCTCAGTAAAGTCCTCCCATGACAATCACTAATGTAAAGGAGTTATTCAGGGAAATCCAGAGAATGACTAAGCAGGTGACTATTTGATTTTACGTTTGTCCTCCAGTTGTCTCTACAGTGGATTTATACACAGTGAATGAATTAACGGAGCTGTCTGATTCAAGTTAATCGAACGTGTCCATAGGCATCCTTTGCATAGGTTAAAGAAAGACAGTATTTCACTAATAAAAAGAAAAACTATCTAAATTCTGTTTGAGCTCGCCTTAACAAGTAAAAATGGGAAAGTAGTGATGGTAAATGATGCATTTCAATGTATCAAAGACAATAAAATGTATACACATTTATAAATATACATAGGTATATGTATATATAAATGAAAAAGTTGGATCTTTCAATCAAATATTCTTACAAAATTCACTTTTAAGCTGGTATTAGATATTTCGGATTGCTAATTTCCTTGTTTGTCACTTTCAGTATCTCAAAAAAAGCAAAAAATTTATGACCAACAGTAGTTTCAGCTGACACACGTTCTTGATTGGAGCCTGAATGTCTGCTGCTTGTTCACTTCCCACCAAACCGTTATACAACTGATAGTCACAGTAGACAATGGAAACCAAGCTTCCTTATGTGACAAATCGCTTGGTCTCATACATTGTGCAACTCTAACAACTGAAGCCCAAAGGACTAGCTGCACAAATAATAAAAAAAGCATATTTATCACACCATGAAAGCCATTTTTCACAGCATGCAGTCAGTGACCTAAGGTCATGTGGAACGGAGGTGGGTGGTAAGGTTCGGCCTAAATATGTGATGAGCAAACTGCTGCTAAGATGGATTAAGCTGCATCCAATAAGCAACCGATGGGTTTGGGAGAATAACGTCTCCTACAAAACAGGCCTTTGATGTGGTTGTCGGTTTAAGTGCTCTAATGCTCGGCGAGACACTGAGGTCTGTTGTGAAGAAATGGAACAATACATTTAACCACATGAAGCGCAGAGGGCAGGATTACTTCTGCATATATATTTTCTCCTCATTCTCTCATTGTCTTACTGTCTCAGTTTGTGTCTCTTATGCTCTCTGCTGTTTTATTTGCATTCCTTCAAGTGCACACAAACTCATTGTCTATAAAAATGACAACTAATATAAACAGGGAATTAACCAAGATCTGCTCTGCACACACACACAAATGCATAGATCATTACTGATGCTGAATCACACAATTGTAAATTCCAGCAAAGCATGTTATTTAAAGTAAGTGCATGCAATTATAAAATCTACTCTGATCTGTATGAATTATAACCCCAGATAGAATTTTTCTCAAACCTCTCTTTGTGAATTTGGGCGTGTTTGATAAGCACACATCTGTTTCTACAAGTTCACAAGTGAGAAAGAGATTAGTGTGCTCATAATCCAGCATTAACTGGTGACATACACATTTTTCTTTCTCCACATATGATGCTGTTCCTCCTCATCTTCTCTTATTATGTAAAGGCAGATGTGACATCTAACATGTGCATCCATCAAAAAAAAAAAAAAAAGAAACTGTCTTTGCACAACCATCCCTGTCTGCAAATAAGCACGGAAACGACATACATTTTAACAAAAAAAACCCACGCTGAAAGCACCCTCATCTCCGTGTTGACAACCCATTTAGCGCTATAGGGGCCTTCGGTTAAAACGAGAAATACAGGATGAAAAAGCCATTTAGCAAAAGAAACAATTATTATGACACATCTTCTTAGATTGCATTTGCAGCTCATTCTAAATGCGATTCAGGGATGATACTGCAGGGTTGCAGTCTATTAACAATTACAAAGTTATGATAACATTTCAGGACAACAAAGCAACTCACACGTCTCTCTGTGTTATTAATAAACTGTTGAACAGTTGAAGCCGACAACATGACAAACATCACAAACTTTAACATGTATTCTATCTGGATAATTTTGTAGATTTTCTCCATTCACCGTCTTATTAACTCCGATAAGCTTCCATTCCCCTGCTAAGACAAAACAATTCTCCACAGTATTATGCCTCCACCACCATGTTGAGATGTTCAATTTTTCAGAACAAAGGTTCAAACTTGTATTCATCTGATGAAAGCTACCGACATGTCAGCTCTGTCCCCTGTATAAGGGAAGCAAATTGCAAATTTGAACTATATATATATATATATA